TTAGGGTATTGAAATCAGAGTAGTGCAGTGGAAGCATGGTCGATTCAAAATTTGCAAATTGTGGCCCTAATTCCTCAATATACATATTAGGATATGTTTCTCGAGGAATTATATTTACCACGAATAATATTTGAGCCAACAAAGCAAAAGAAGGTTGAAGAATGTGTTTTTCATGCTGAAGTCATCTTGACACAATTCAAAACTTGAGGACGAGTTTTCTCCAAAAAGAAGAGAATGATAAAAGTAAAATTATATACTTTTAATTTCTATTCAATTTTTGAAGATGTATATTTTAATTTTAATTTTAGAGTTTAATTCTATGGTTTTTAAGTTTTTAGAAATTCTAGAGTATTTATATTTTTTTATTTATTTCATGTGTACTATTCACTAGTACTGTTCCTGAGTACTATGGGTAAAGTTGTCATTATGAAATTTATACTTAAGTTAAGACTTTTTGATCAAAAATTAAATTGTTTGGACAAATATTGTCCAAAACAATAAATTTTCAATATAAATATGAGCATGGATGGACTGGAGAGTAATTGATGTATTTTTCTTTTTTTAGAAAAAAAAAACTTTATCTTATAAAAGAAGCCTAAAGCTTGAGCCCTAAGTTGGAAAAAGCTTTAGAGTTTCCCCAAAATTGCTTATGTCAAGATGGTTATGGTTGATTTATTGTTTCTTTCAATTTTTCCTTTCCTACATCACACTTATAGGCGCACGACGAAGAAAATAAAGAAAAACAAGAGAACTGAAAGAAAGTAACTACCGATTTAAGTAGGTTCAAGTTGAGAGGCACGACTAAGCCAGGATTTTAAAGAGAGAAACACTTCATAGCTGCAAGACCGAAGTAATACAATGGACCGCTAACCGCACCATGTGAGAGGTAACTTTTGTAGGAAAAGATGTCTTGCAAACTTTCCAACGTCAGACAGACAAACTGATAGATGACCGGGAAAAACCACCAAAGAAATATATAAAGATAAATCTGGAGAGAGAAAGAAAAAGAAAGAGAAAGAGGGGTCTTATAGATCTAAATATGTCCAGCGAAGCCACTAAAGTTGCAGACAAAACACCAGTAGATAAAAGACTCGTCGGTTTCTTCAGAGAGAGGAGATTAAAATGCCTGAAGCAAGAGATGGAGCAAGGGGTTTTGCAGGCGGTCAGATACTAGCACCAATGATATATGTGAGGAGAGATTCAACGGCTAGGATTTCAGTTGCGGAGAGAAGGCAAGGAAATGGACGGAATCAAGGGGAGTAACATGGAGATTATGCCGCCTGCATATTCAAGGAGATCAAGAGGGCGTCAAAGAATGAGGCCTTTGCCTGCTGGATATCCACGCACCCCTCTTTGTGAGGTCACGGTTTTTATTAAACACAAGGAGGTAGGAAAGGGTCAGGGTTGTAAGGGTAGCATCCGATCTTTAGTTATGACGTTGTGGTTTTCAATCCTGCTGACACCATCCACTTACTATCGGAAAAAAAAAAAAAACCTAGGGGATTATCAAAAATAAATAAATAAATAAAAAACCATCAAAGAACCATATAAATCAATAAAAGAGGGGCCACCAAAGAATCAAACATTCAAATAAATTTGAAGGTGTGATGAGACCAGGATACAAGAATCTTGTCTAGAAACTATGCACAAGACCACGCTATTCAATGAATCCTTCCACCACATTCCTCAGCAGTTGATTTTTAATAGGAGTTGCAATACTCATTCCCCTACATGCATGGCAGTTGGATTCCTTGGAATTCTTTATTTGATTCGTGGACTGAAGTCTTGGCTCGACAACTAAGTAAAGGGGTTGTTATATGCAAGCTGGATACACTTAGATCCACTCTCTCTTGGGGAAATCACAACCCTTCACTATATAAGTAAGGTTGACTTGGGGAAATCACAACCCTTCACTATAATAAATAACAAGTTGTCTTGTAGGTACAAATTGTTTATCTAGACCTGCTGGTCAAACTCCCACTTAGGAATGTTTGGTGGACTCCCAAAACTCTCAAATCGGTATTCCTTGATATGGTCTATCGACTCTTCCGTTTTGATGGGTATCACGTATGATATTTTTCTTTTTTTTTATTTGAAAATAATCTTTGACTTCCCCAACATAAGTAGTCTTATGATAGGAAGTGCCCCCCCCCCCTTTGTTTTTCTATTTGAAAATAATCTTTGACTTCCCCAACATAAGTAGTCTTCTGATAGGAAGTCCCCCCCCCTCCTTTTTTTTCTATTTGAAAACAATCTTTGACTTCCTACTAATAGTTTCAAAAAACTAAGTTCCTAATCTATTTGAAAAAAAGAGTAAGGACCTATCTTCCCTACTGAATTACCTTTAAAAAAAAAAAAAAAACATGAAAGAGCAAAGGTAATTAACCCAAAACTATAACTTTTAATGGTTTGGTCTGAAATGGGATCTCATTGCAAATTTTCTGCAGAGTTTTTTTTAGAGACCATTTACTTTTCACGTAATTTTGGCACTTAGTTTTCGATGTCAACCATTTGCTTTTGAAGTGATTTTCGCACTTTGTTTTCAATGTCAACACTCTCCATCCCTACTTCGATACTTTCTTTTCTATTTCCTGCACAGTATTTTTGAAAAAATATACGAAGAGACCATTTACTTTCTTTTCTATTTCCTGTACAGTTTTTTGAAAAAATATACGAAGAGACCATTTACTTTTGAAGTGACTTTGGCACTTTGTTTTCAATGTCAACTCTCTCCATCCCTGTCTCTTGGTTCTTCGAGACTTGCTCTTCTATTTCCTGCACAGTTTTTTTTTATAAAAGTATACAAAGAACGTGTGCACTATCTTACATCTTGATAAACCTACTTAGAGGATATTTTTTCTTTGAAATTTAGGGATCTACTACAGGATCACCAGATGAGTTCATTTTTATTTTTGAATTTTTAAAAGATTGAGTTCTGACTTTTTCATCATTTTAAAAACCATTTGTATAAGAATTGTATACAGTCAAAATCATATATCGTTATCATTTTTTCTTTTCCGACATCAACGGAATAGAGGGGACGTCACTCGTTAGCATTAGATTTAAATTGGAGCAGTCAGGTATGTGCGGTTAACCATGCAAGAAGACTTTTTTCAAATGTAATCACACATCCTCCGTCCAAAAAGTTTATATAAAGCCTAGGCTCTGAACAAAAACAATCAAAAAGTTTATATAAAGCCTAGGCTCTGAACAAAAACAATCAAATTAAAGCTCACCTCAAAAAATTCACTAAAAAATGTTGTTTTGATGCCCAAATATCGTCAAATTGATCATCTCGACATCAAGACACATGGACATAAAAAAAAACAGATTTCAAACTTTGAAAATAATGTATCTTATAACACATTTTTTTACCGTCAATTTTCAACATTTTCAAGTTTTCATAAATATTCTTGATCTACACTATTTTTAAAGCTTTAAATTTATTAATTAAAGATTAAAATATATTTTAAAGCTATCACAAAAATTTCCAATATTGAAACGATATTTCTCAACATTGGGCTTTACTTTGATTATTTAGAACCTCGGCTCTATAAAAACTGCACCCCTAAATCTAAAACAAGCCCATTTCACATCTGACATCTAAGACCTAATTGCGACCTCCTTTCATTATCTAAAACAAGCCCATTTCACATCCGACCGCTAAGACCCAGCTCTGACAGCTAAAACCGAGCCCATTTCACATATGACCACCAAGGCCTGATTGCGACCTTCCTATGCAACACCGGGGATATAATCTCTTTAACATATAAATTAATCTTAATAAAAAATTCCTAACCGAACCCTCTCAAACACCTTAAAAAAAAAAAAATTCTTAAAATTCAATAGAAATCGTCCAACTTTTAGAGAATGAGATCCAATGTTATAAAACTGAAAACTTCAAACTTCTTTTTTATTTTTCCCCTAAGAATAATCATCAAGTAATTCTAAGGTGGTCACCAATATTTCATTTTGAAAAAATCCTCCCAAATAGGTCATCTGGCCCAGGAGTAGAAGTATATTGCACATCAATCAAAATCAATGAAGGGCCCGAGAGAGAGATGGACTGAGCATTCTATTCTATTATAGACTGTGTACGATGTATAGTCCTAAATACTGTCTTTTTCAAATTATTGACAGTTACTCGGAAAAGAAAATGATGTATAGTCCTAAATACTCTCTTTTTCAAATTATTAAAAGTTATTCGGAAAAAAAAAAGTACACAGGGATATCTTTGGTACAAAGTGGTCACAATTTATCTTGACCATTGGATGTAAAATTTGATGGCTGCATTTATTTCATAGGTGCGGTACAAAGTGGTCACAATTTATCTTGACAAATTTGATGGCTACATAGTTTATGGGTGCGGTTTGTATAGAGCCTAAGCTCTAAACAATCAAATTAGAGCCTATCTTCAAATAGTGTCAAGAAATGTGGTTTCAATATTGGAAATCTTTGTGATAATCTTAAAATATATTTTAATATGTATTTATAAAATTTAAAGCATAAAGAATAGTGTAGAACGATAAATCTATAAAAACTTGAAAATCTTGAAAATTGATGGTCTAAAAATACATTACAAAATACACTATTTCCAAAACTTGAAATCCATTTTTTTTTCTCATGTCCATGCTTCTTGATGTCGAGACGATCAATTTGAAGATATTTTGGCATCAGAACAACCACTTCTAGTGAAATTTATGAGGTAGGCTCAAATTTGATTGTTTAGAACATCGACTCTATATGAACTTTTCGTTTATTTCATTGACCACACTCAATCTTTTTTAAAAAAAAAAACCTTCTCGAACTTTATGACACAACCAAATTCCACGGAATTGTGACCAACCTATCTCATTGTATACGATCCCATACAATCCCACCGGGAAAAGCTCAAATTTCGACCACAATTAACAAATCATGCCCAATTATAAAGTTTATGCACGAATGTAGCAAATGTAGGCATCTATGCGTATTTCAAATTTTAATGTACATAAATCATAGAAAAGAGAAATATTTTTCCTAAATCAATAGAAAGACCAGGTTCTTTTGATACATGTAAGAAGCCATGAACAATTACAATACGTTCAAAGAATATTACTAACTATGCATTGATGGGTTGCCAATATTCGGGCCTGAACCTCTCATGATCTACCACTATGATTGCATAAATGGCGTAGATAATACCCGGAACATAACCTAGAATAGTGAGGAGCAAGCATATGCAGAACTCAACCTGCAAAATTAACAGGATCAATCAAAATTAGGGTTTTCCAGTTCGAAAACCACGGATAGAGATTGATGAAAAATTAGCGTTCTTTCTTCTAAATGAAACCAAGATTAGGGTTTAGGGTCAAAATTTAGAATGTTGTCGTTTCGAGCATACGCAAACACCGTGAATAAATAAAAGGAACAAACCACACAGCTTTGGATTCAAATAAGAACACCATTAGGGCTACTGATTGAAACATACAGAATTAGGGTTTATTGATTCAAAATGAGACTAGGGTTTCAGGTTCGAAACGAAGAGAAGCTTACTCTGCAACCATGCCTGAGAAAAACTCCCAATGGTGGGATCAAAATGGCGATCAAAACCTCCAAAAAGAGCGCCCTTCTGTCTGGCCCCATTTTACAAATATTAAAAAAAGAAAACAGGAAGAAGCTCCAAAGATAAATCAATGACCGAACTTGTGCATGGCAAAGCGTGTTATACACACGCGTGACAGGGAGATTCCATGCTTGCGTAAGCGTATCCCATCGGTGTACACGTGTATAATGCTAAACGTCTGACCTGCACACGTCCCATAGAAACTGTGTTCTATACGCGTATCCATCCGTATTGTGTGGACTCTGATGGATTTTAAGACTTAATTTTTGTGGTTATGAATACGAGAAATAAATAAATTTTTTAAAATAAAAAATATTTGTTTTAATTAAAAAAATATTTAGATAGTTCGTTTCCTTGGTTTTAGATGAAGCACATACTTGTATCGATTTTTTAAGATGGATGCTTTACTATTTATGGTTAGCATATGTAGATATGCGGTTCAGCTTGCAATAAATAAATTTCTTTTTTCAAAATTTATTTTTAATATTTTTAGAACTTAATTTTATTTCAAACATATTTTTTTTATTTTTTTATTTTTATATTTTACCGAGTCACTTCGACTTGGGCCGAGTACTCGCCCCGAGTCACTCTTTCCAACACTTGTTATAATATCTCCAAAGTCCAACCTCATTTCTACACATGCGGAAAATTGTTTCACGTGGGCTGGACCGTATTTCTACATAGGCCTTTTAGAAAGTATAAAGCATCCATCTTAAAGATAAATGCAAGTAGGTGTTTCATCTAAAAAAAAAAAACTAATAGTCCAAATGTTTTATTAATAGAATTAATATTTTTAATTTTTATAATTTATTTATTTATTCATATTCATGATCTTCATATTAGAGCTCACATGTCCTTAAAAATTAAGTCTTAAAATCCATCTTAATAATAAATTTATTAAGAGGCACACATTTGGTAATGCTTCAATAAAATTCTGTGCTCTTGTCAAACAAAAAAAAAAAAATCGATCGACTAAAATGAAGTCAATTTTCAGAAGCCTTCCCACTTGTTATGGGTTTCAAACCTGGAAAATAGTTTTTTTAGTGAGAAACATATTCCATATTTGCAACCTGGAAACTTATCTAGCTCAAGTTACTTAAGTGGGACAAATTACTAAAATGTCATTACTTGTTTAGGGTTAAAAACTGAGAACAAAAACAATTTCGGCATTTTTTTAACAGATTTTATGAGATACTAGACTAAAAAAATTTATTTATCAGTTAAAATTATAAATCTCACCACCTTATTAATTTTGTGAGGTGGTTTCTCGGATGATGTTTCTATAAGGCGTAGGCTCTATGAAAAACAAATAAAACCTCACCTTAAAATCGTTGAGCATTTTCGACCACTAACATCTCCGTGGCTTTAAAATTAATTTCCTAGATCGTAAATAAAGTTTGAAACTCAAAAAATCATATAGATCTTGTGGATCTCTGAAAACTTATTTTTAGAGCAAATGGACAGTGTAGATAATTTGTTAAAATATACACTATTTTTTAGAGTTTGAAATCCTAATTTTTTTCACAATCATAATGTTCAAGTCCATATGATTGTATAAAGATTTTCCAAAGCGTGAATTTCACTTTTGAATGAGACATTGGATGAGGCTTTACTTATTTTTTCTAGGGATACAGCCCTATCAAACTATTTTTCTTCTAATATTTCCAATTTTTCTGTATTTATAAACCTAAGGCGTGCAACCCTAAACCATATTCATCATGTTTGAAACCCTAGAGAAGCAATGGTTATAAATGCGCTCCATGTTTTAAGAGAAACAAAATATGATCCTTTTGATTGGAATCAATGAGAGAGGATTTGTACTTTGTGAGAGAAGATACTCGCACGATGAGATGGAGAGAGTTTAAATGGATTTAGCAGTAATTTAAGGTATTTTTCCAACAATACAAACTTAAAAACATTTGATATTTGCAGCATTTGCCCACCTAGTGTGTTCCAAAACTAGAACTGAAGACCATTTTTTTTTTTAGCACGATTAAAAACTAGATTGGTGGTTTAAACTGGTCACCCACACTATTTCCGAACCGGCTCGCCGGTACTCCGAAGTTTTTTCCCATTGAAAATAAAGGTAAAAATCAAGTGGCTTATGTTCATTTGTCTGCGAGAGGGGATCTACGCTCACCATCCAAGAGAGAACTTGTGTTATTCTAGTGTTGAGAGAGAGAGATCTACAAATCTTGATCTTGATTTAATTATGAAAAATAGTTTGATAGGGTTGCAACCCTATCAAAATAAGCAAAGCCTCACTTTGTAACTCATTAAAAATTGTAAATCAAGCATTATAAAACATTTATATCGATCATCTTGGCTTGAACATTATGATTGTGAAAAAAAAAGGATTTTAAGCTCTAAAAATAGCATATATTGCAACAAATTATCCAAACTATCCATTTCGCCCTAAAAAATAAGTATTAATAGATCGGCAATATCTGTATCATTTTTTTAGTTTTGAATTTCATTGTCATCAAGGAGATTTCTGTTGTCAAAAGTGCTTTTCGAACGAGGATTTGAGGTGAGGTTTTATTTTGTTTTCATAAAACCTAGGCCTTATGGAAACATCATTAATTATTCATATGATAGAATGATTGAGTGACTTTAATGATACTCAAGGGCATCTTTTCATTTGGTAACATCTCTAATATAATGCCACAGTTGAGAATATATGATCCACCAAATCCCAAATGGTTGTTCAACAAATCAGATCCTTGGCCAACAAATTATTATGGAGAGTCAACAAATGCTTTTATATTTAAAAGCCCATCGTTCCAAGCAACGAATTTTGCTTATTTTGGTGGGTATCGAAATGGGAGCATTGAAAATATCAACTTTCTTGAAATTATCCTATAATCACCAAAACTAAAAGTCCTCTAACTTGTACTAAATCATTTTTTTTTATAGAGTTTAGTTTGCAATAGGTTTCAAATTTTGACTATATCTAATGCCCCCCAACTTGCACTCAACTATTTTATTAGAGTTTAAATTGCAATATAAAACAAAATTAAAAGAAAAAAAAAGGGGGATTAAGACTAAACTTGATTTTTAATAAAAATGGAGGATGTTGGATTCGGTTAAATGGATTGATTTTGCATAAGGTTTCATAAAATACAATTTTGATGTCGAAAATTCTTAGAGTGGTCTGACAATCTATTTTCATCTCTAATTATAAAATTTTAAACTCTAAAAATAGTTCAAATCAAGCAGATCTATAAGCACATAAAAATCTTGAAAATTGACGGTCCAAATAATGTGTCGCAAGATGTACTATTTTTCAGCTTTAAAATTTGTTTTTTCTTTCATGTTCATATATATATCGATGTCGAGATAATCAATCGCATGATCTTTTTGCTCTTTTAGATGGATTTTTCAGGTGTACCTTAATTTGTAATTTGAGATTTCAACTTTATATAAACTTTGCCCTTAATTTTATAATTTGAGATTTCAACTTTATATAAACTTTGTCCTTGGTTAAATGTTTCATTACATTGATGTGTATGTAATACGCAAAAACACTTAAAAAGTAACGGAAAATGTGATTTAAGAATCTAGGAAGACCCTTTAAGTCCATTAATACTAATTTCAATGAAGCCAAGGTCGTCTTCATGTGAATAGTGAAAACTCTTCAAGTTTGAATAGCATTAATTGCATTTTCTTGGCTTTTGTCATGCTTTGCAAATTTCCATAGTTTCCCAAATTTCCATGCAGCCCCAAAATGTGAAATCTTTCCCTCTCTCTACTGTTCTTTTATTTTATTTTAACTTTTTATCTAAATCACTTTCTCTATCTTGGAGAAACAGGCATCATCATCTTATGTGGTCCCTCAACGCGTCTTTGTACTTTTTCTCCTCTCTTTCTAACTCCTATATGTGCATGTATCATGTCCCTATGTATGTTTATATAGGGGTTTTTTAAAGGTATATGCATGTATGAAGCATTTCTCTAATGTACTCAATATTTTTTAATAATTAATATATTTATTTCACAATGTAGTAATTTTTTTATCTAAGAATATTTTAAGTAAAAAAATAATTTATATAGAGGCGATGCTCTAAATAATCAAACTAGAGCTCACCTCAAAAATTTTACTAGAAGATATTGTTTTGGTGCCCAAATATCTTCCAATTGATCATCTCGACATCAAGATGCATGGACATGAGAAAACAATATATTTCAAGTTTTAGAAATAGTGCATCTTGCATGCATTTTTGAATCGTCAATTTTCAAGATTTGCAAGTTTTTATAGATCTACTCGATCTATACTAGTTTCGAAGCTTAAATGTTATAATTACATATAAACATATATTTTAAGGCTATCACAAAGATTTACAATATTGAAACCACAGTTTTGGACACTTTTTGAAGGTGCTATCTATTTTGATTGTTTAGAGCCTCGACTCTATACAAACCGCGCCCTTTAAGTAATTGGCTAAAGGTACAATACAATTTTTTGATAGAAAACTATTTATTAACTATAGCGGAGAATTATATCATTGTCATGAAGTGTTTATCACCCACATGGAACACCAAAAATAAATAAATTATTTTTTAACTATTAAAAGAATATCACTTGTTTGTTATAGACATATATTTTTGTTGCTCCTAATGACAAAAAATACCTTTATTCGAAACAATTTGTATTACAAAGCAATGGTAATGAGTGTCGAATGAATGTTGAGTACATTAAGAAAATATTGTGTGTGTGTGTGTATATATATGGGTGTGGTTAGGATAAGGTTGTGGCTCTAAACAAAAAAAATAGGATGTACCTTTAAATAGTGCCAAAATATATTGTTTTAATATTAGAAATCTTTATGATGGCCTAAAATTTATTTATCTCTAATAATAAAATTTAAAGTTCAAACATAGTATAAATCGAACAGATCTATTAACATTTGAAAATCTTAAAAATTGACAGTCTAGATAATATATTATTATAAGATGCACTGTTTTCAATACTTGAAAGCTTTTTTTTCACCTTGAGGATGAGATGATCGAATCGAAGGTTTTTCAACATTGAAATAACC